CTTTCATTTCCATCATTTGTTCTTTATATTTGTTCAATGCAAAGATTAAAGTATCAATATCAGGTATTATATCTGATAATTCAAATATGGATATAGATACAAGTGCATTTTGAAAACAGTTGGAAACAGAGGAAATAAATGTAGAAACCCTTGGATATGCTAGGAAAATGTTGTAAATTCCATAAATATATTAATAATACTAAATTTAATGTCAAAATAGCCACAAATAATGCATATATATATAAATGTATATTCTAATAATATCATACAACTTTATTGACAATTAATCAATGAAGAGTCCAATGCACATATTATATAGATTTTTTTTTTAAATTAAAACATGCACAAAACCATTAGTATTTTATTTCTTATTAAAGTTGAAGACACAAAACAAACACAATTATTATATTTGAATTATTATATCAATTATTTTCTAGTTTACTATTTTTAATTTTGACATTAACAAAAAAGTCAATTAAAAGATTAATTCTCAAATGTTTGGTAAATAATATTTTTATTTTTGTAAAAATAAATATGTTATTATAAAATAAAAATTAAAATATCAATTAATAATGTATACAAATATATAATCTTAACTTAAAATATATCAAATCTATCAAGATACATATCATATGCAAATTCATAATTTTTAATTACTAAAATAATTTTTATTATTAATATTTTATTTCTATAAATTTTCTGAAAGAAAAAATCAATTTTTGAAACAAATGTAGATTATCTGATTTGATGGATTCAATTTATATTGTATTTTTAAATGTTTCATTATTTTGTAAACAGTATTTTTTATTTTGTAAATAATAAATGTGTTTTTATTTAATTAAAACTAAAATATTAATTAATAATTTATAAAAAAAATTAAGATACATATCATGTATAAATTTATAAAATTTAAGTATTAAAATAACTATACTATTATTARTGTTTCTATAGATATGAATTTTTTTATATTAAAAATCATTTTTTATATAAATGTGAATTTGATAAATTATTTAATCGATTAGTTTATAAAATAATAAATTTGAATATTATTTTTTTAATTTATAGTTGAAATTATTGAATATAAATATGATTTATTTGCTTAAATTCTATTTTAACCGTAGATGTTGAAGTTAATATAAATTAATTTATTTCAGTTAAAAAAAATTATTTTAGTTTCTGTTGGATGTTGTTCGGGTCATGGCTGAGTTGGCCCTGCGAGACACGTGGCTGCCCAGTTATCGCCCGGCCACATCATCCAAGCTTGACCACGTCGGCCGAGCTATGCTATTATGGTGGCCCCCCATCTTCTCCATTCAGCCACGTCAACTACACGTCACATGGATGAGCACAACTACGGATAAAGAGGAATAAGGAAGATGACTCTGTTGGGGAATGAGACTCTATCCCGAATACCTCGACAGGTAACCTCATCCCAACAACCTCGGAGTATTTACCCGGGGATAACTTCTCGGGCTTCTAATTTCTTCTTCCTTGATCATAGGTATTGAAGTGCGGCCTCGTTCTTGTAGCTTGGCTCCCCTGCCAGCAAGGATTATCTGGTTGCTCTCCTCAATTCGTACACCACCTTGGATTGAACAGCATCAGATGTCGTAAGAAATTTCTTGTTGCAGGAGATGTCATCTCGTTAAAATCGTTAAAATGTGGGCAATCGCCACATTAATCTTCTTCTTTTGCATTTGCTACTGGATGGTGGAAGTAAGAGGGGGATATATAGAGTTTTTGGAGGTCGCTTGGTGACACTACTCTCTTTTTCTTCATCTCTATCTACGTTTTCAGATTCAGATTCGGTCCAGCACTCTAGCAAAAGGCGAAAGGCTTTTGCCAAGGCAAAGCAAGAGAATCACCTATTGGATTACAACTCATCTACATTTATTTTGTTTGCTTAGAACAAAAAGAACATAAAGAGGACCACTATCGCTATCAACCAAAACATGASAAAAGAATTGAAACAAAAATGAGATATCCTATTGCCCTCTATATGAAATTATTTTGGGCAAATTTCTTAAACTATTCCTATTGTTTAATTAATTGAYTAACTTCACATTTACTGTTTAGCTATTATCTTGAAGTATCTTTAAGTTTTTTAATAATTGTCTAAAACCTTCATTATCATTAATTTTTCGTTACACTTCGTTTACATATGATATAATGTGAGTAGTAATTATTTTAAAATTCCTAAAATACCCTTATTATTCACTATCGTTGTTGGAAGTTGGAGTAGTGGCAATGATTTTGATATATCTACTACTAGCAAAATGAAACAAATGTGAAAGCTGTCGTTAGAAGGTCGGCCATGGCTACCCTTATTGTTCGCTAGTTTTTTAATCAATCCAACACTAACTCGCTCTATTTGTCGGTTCTTTCCTTTTTTTGTTCTTTAAATTCCTTCTCACTCCCAATCTCCGGCTAATTAGTGCAAATTAACAAAACTGCAGTTTTCGTTGTCCATTGCATTTGAAGGTCGGCCATGGCTAGCAAGGAGCGAGGGAAAGAACCAGAGCAAGAATGCCTTTACAAGATTTGTCTTCTGTTTTTAACGAGAAACCTTTCTTCACTCAGCTCTTTGTTTTGTTTTTCTTTTCTTTGTTTTTTATATTTTCCCCTTTTTCTCTGTATTTTATGTTGCTACGTCTGATCTGGGTTTTTCCCTTCTCTTTGGGTTTTCGTTATGCTTTAAAATTATCTGAGTTCATATCTAAGTATCTTTACTGCTATTTCTGCGTAAGATTTTTTGACAGAGCAATCAGATCTCATATCTGAGTACAACGAAAGTTAAGGTTTTTGAGCAACCACGCCAATGAGAAAAGGTATAGGAAGCTTCTATGTGAGATGTTAGTGCCATAGCTTTCACCTTCAAAAGAGCACATGCGTAGCGGTGGCAATTGGGCGGGTTGGGTTGGGTTGGGTTTGGTTTGGGTTGAGTTTCAACCCAACCCATTAATGACCCAGTTATATAAAATTAAGTGGGTTGGGTTCAACCCAAACCCACTTCAAACTGATCCAACCCGTCCAAACCCATTAATCTTATATTTATGGACTTAAAAAACAAACTAACTCTCTCTTAACAAATAAGTTGGTCAGAGTTTGGTGGTAATAATAGTTACTATTTACACAAGTGGTGAATGTTCAAATCACATTACATGTATGCCATTTTTACACAAGTGGTGAAGCCATTTGACTATGTTCAGATTTTGGGTTTGACCGAACCACTTAGGTTCAAATCGGTCAGACCAACTTGAACTATCTAATTGGATTATTTTCGAGCTAATCACATCAAGGGTGGTTGAACCATTTAGTTCTGGATCAGTCTAGTCGGATTGGTTCAAACAATAGTGGATTGACTTGGACCAGCCCATATCAGGTTTGTGGACGGGTTTGGGACCGAACTGACTGACCCGAAGCGGGTCAACATAAGCAAATCGGTCCGGATTCAGGTCGGATTGTGTAGATATTGGTCAAAGCGGACGGTCCATCCCGGGAAAAGCACACAAACATCGAACCATCTCGCCCAGAACCGTTTTGGATTCGGGTTGACTCGGATCGGTTTGTATTGGGTCGAGTCGAGCTGTGTGAATATTGGTTGGACCGGACACCCCAAACCGGGCAAAGCAAGCGGTTCCAAACCATCCCGCCTAGGGGTATATTTCGGATTCGAGTCGGACCGTATTAAATTGGTTCGGACTCACGTCAAATTGATTCGGATTTATATTGGGTGAAGTGTATTGATTCAAGACAAAACTAAATTCAGTCAATAATTAATAAAAAATTAATGTATTAATTATAAATTATTTAGTTCAAATGAAGAAAATTAAAAAAAAAGCTAAGGAATTAATATTTATGTCTGTAATGGTTTGATCACATAACTCACCAAGTAAATGGGTGGGTTGGGTGAAAAATTGCCACCCCTACACATGCGCCACTTGCGGGTTCCCTTCGAGTTGTATCAGGAAGTATAATTGGAGCGTGAAGGCGATCTAAAGGAAGAAGGGGGCTGTCGCTTCTTAAGGTGAATGTGGACATAATTTTGGTAGTCTGTTATTGCTTCAGTCGTATTTGAATTATGGATACTAGTTTTTAAGATCCCATGAGATGAATGTTTTTGCAGTAGAAGTTTGGTAGAAGCCTTTTAGAGAGAGAGAGCACGAATGTGAAAGCTGCTATTTGATTAAAAAACTGGTTTGAAGCAGAGAAGTTTTGCTGTTAAGTAGAGAGCACTTCGTGAATTGGGTTGGAATTGAGGGACAAAGGTCACTCCCACCCTTTTTTTTCAAAGCAAAAGAGTGGTGATTAAATTTATATTGTGAGTAAAGTTGTACAAGGTAACATGTTCATAGTAAAATGCCTTTGATATTTACAAGCATAATAAGATAAAAGATAGCTAAAGTGTTTTTAGTTCTAGATATGTAAATGAATTTTAAATTTCTAAATTGACTATGGAAATGTAAAACCCGTCCAAAAYGCACTTGATCGATCCATGTACGTTCCATTACTAGAAGGTTTAACTTTTTTACTACTACTTCAGTATCTAAGAAAACTCGCACTGATTGGCACTACAATGCTATAGCAGCTTTTAAACCCTTGATGACTGCACGAAACTCTGCATCATAACTGTCAATGGCTCTGTAAACTGACCCTTGAGCTGCAATGATCTGCCTATCATCAGATTTCTTAATGACAAAACCAATGCCTGCATTGTCTGCATGTTGATCATAAAATCTATCAGTGAATATTAAATAATGGTTCTCGGTTATTGGGCTTAGGGATAATACCTTTAATTTATCTACAGAGAATTGGGCATGAATCAACAATTATTTCACTTATTATTTTTTTAAATTTGAAGAATAATGAAGGACAAATTCAATATTTCGTTTATTTCCGTAGTAATTAACGGCGGTGTCAATTTTTAGTAAAAGTAAAGATATTCAGGACAATAATATAAACACTAAGGATACAGTAGTTTAAGGAAATTGCCCAATTATTTTCTCTGCTCGTTGTTTGGGAACTTCTTCTTGGCATAGCCTTGAGTTATTACATTTTTAGGCCAAATGCCATCTCCTAAGAGCTCGGTGGGAAGTAAAAGTAGCAGTCGCCGGAGGAACATCCATCACTGGTACTATCAGCAGGGTACTGCCGGAGTTTTCAGCTCTTCATGGATCCGCCGGTTGCACTTGACACCAACTCCGTCGCCCCCAAGTGCCACAGTGAAACCAGCCCAGATGGCTGCACCTCTGCCAGTGGGACCAGATGCTGTAAACTCACTTTGCACAACTGGGTTAGGTGATGGCCCCTTGCCTGACCATCACACTGTTTCCACCCATGAATCTCGAACTCCAACTTCTATTTGTAGTACTAGGACGAGATTGTTCCTTCATCGCCTCCTTAAGTTCCACGAGGAACATCCTCTTCCAACAATGAATCATGGAACCTGCTCCGTCACTGGTTTTGGGCCATTTCAGGTTAAATCAAGGAGGAGCCCAGATGTTCCCGGACCATGTTCTTCCTCTGCCCCTCACCCATCATCACGGCCCAAACTTGTTGAGTCATCCTTGGCTAGTGCTCATCGTTTGCAGCACGGAGAATCACAATTTCAGGAAACCAAACACGGTGGATTGGGAAGCTCCAGTTTTGCTGGCCGGGACTCTGCAACAGCCCTGGGTAACAAAGGGAAATTCACTTACCATGGGAACTCCTGCAAGAATATTTTTTTCCATTCTTTACAGAGGATGACGCGATTTGGCATAGAAAAAGAAAAAATGGAGAATAATCGGAATCAAGAGCATAGYCACGTTCCCTTTAATGGAGGAAAGCTCTTCCTGGGCTGCCAGAGTCACTTTAATGGTAAAAGCTATCTAGAGAATGCAGATGACATGGTTCTGGGTTCATCCTCATCGCGGAGGGTGGATGACAATCAACATGGTCTTCATCTCTCACCATTCTTTCCAAATAGATCTCTCTCAAAGAAGCATGACTACCAGGGAGATAATGGAGCTAATGGGTCCGTTGGATTAGCTAGGGATGCATATCTTTCTGGTCCACCAGGAGAAGCCATTAATATGGGGGCGTTGAGGGTAGAAAGCAGATGGTCTCCTCCACCAGCGCCATTCACCGCAGGTGACCAAAGACTTCATGAACACGTCATGCCTGTGAATCGATGGCCCACCACTGCAGCTGTTTATGGTGTTGATTGTATTTCTGGATCTAGAGGTTGATGTCTCCATTTTTTATCCTGCTTAATTGAAATCACATAGTTCATCTGAGAATCACAGAATAGTGTTGCCTATGCTGTCTGCAGGTGTCACTTATCATGCAAGTGGCGGTGATGGGGCTTCTGGGAGAACCTATAGGGTATCCTTCTCTACCATCTCTTTCTTTTGCCCTTTACTCCGAAGCTCTATTTTTATGTTCTCTGCAAAGAGATTGGCTATGCCTATACTTTTCTTCATTTGCCATTATAGACAAACAAGGGACAGGGCATCAATCTGCAAAATGAATGGTTTTTGGCATTGAGGATCCCCACTTCGCAAAACAAATACAGTTTTCCATATTATACTTTTTTYCTGCTAATGGAACTGGAATGCATATTTTGCATTTAAAACTTCTCCAGATTTGTAAATGATATAAGTTTATATATTTACTTCAATCAACAATAACTGATCATTACATATCATAAGAGAATGCAGCTTTTGATGTTCACATAGGTCAGGTTGTGAGTTTTGATTTCTTAAAATGTGTTGATCTTGAAAGGGGGTATGATGAGTGATTGTCATAATAGAAGTGGTTGGTATTGGTACAAGTACTTGTAGTCTTGATATCAATTGCAGTAGTGAAACAGCAATAGTATTAGCTCTACTAATGGTGGTGAATGCAGTATATCTGTTCTGCCATGGTAATGGTAGTACTGTGGTACTTCTATAGAAATGGTAAGAGTGCTAGTAGTAGTAGCAGCAGCAGCAGAAACAATAGTGGTGGTAATAGTGGCAGCTGCAGGAATTGTAGTAGTTATTAAGCAGTTGCAGGAACAATAATATAGCTTATTCTGGAATATTATCAGAATCATGTAATGGGCCAATTTTTTATAGGTTGATTTGCTTTCTATGGAATAACAGACATTCATTTTCTATAACAGATCCCTGGAACCCCATACTCCCGTAGCCTGTTTTTGCTTCTCTCCAAAGAATTAATTACCATATATAAGAAAATTTGTGCTCTAATTTTCTTGAGCTTGGAATTCAAAACCATATAATAATCCAGAAAGATTGCTGTTCAATCTTTTTAGCACATATTTGCATTCTAGCTGTAATGAGAAGGAACCATGCAACACTCACAATGAGTCAATTAGCGGTGTATGGATTCCTTAAGTTTAAATTCAGGTGTGGCAAGGGATTTCCTGTCTCCAGCTTTTCACACTTGGGGTTTGGTATAGTTTTCTTCATTTGATGAACTAAAACATAATTTTTCTGCCGACATTGTTCTAGATGACAGACAAATCCTCTCGTGGTTCCTTGATGCATACTTGTTAAATAATTTATGGCATAATAAGTCAGTAATGAATAGAGAGATAGTGATCCCCTTGCTAAAAGAATTTCTTGTATATTTCTGTTCTTAAGTTATTTATAAAGACAACACAATGTGGTAAACCACAGAAAAATGGAATTTTTTGTTGCATTTATTTACTCCTTGGATCTTCACCATATTGGCAAATCCAAAAGAGAAAATTGCCTTCTCCATTTTGCCAAATTGGGAGGTCAAGGGAGGAGAAAAAATCAACATACATGATACACCCCACTTTTAGAAATATATTTGAGGTTCTTGTGACAATGAAAAAATCAAATTCACAGGCCAGATATTCAAACTCTTCTAGATGCCACCTTGAACAGATTCAGAAAATCAAGATGAATATATCAACATATGCTCCTTAAAATGGTTATTTATTTGGATAATTATCCTCATATGAGACAAAGCAAAATAATAGGTCAAATATAAAGCAGTTCATGTAAAAAAACATAGATCAGACCTGATAAATCAAAATGGCTAGAATATGGTATCATAGCATGTTCTACATAGTAATTTAAGTTTTACATTTTTTGTAAGATTTAAATTGAAACTTTCAGCACAAATATTCAGGACAGAACTAGGATTACTGTACAGTGTAAACTGGTAAAAAAGAAAATATAAAGTGCCATTTCTAGGAAATTATGCATCATTACAGATTAATGTTTCACAAACTCATGGTAAGGGTCATTTTTTGCTTTCCTTCTTATTGATCATGTACATATTATTCCGAAAAACTTATTTTCAACCTATTTAATGTGTGGCAGGACCAGCTTATGATGCGTAACTTCGAATTATGCCAACATGAGAGGCCAGCTCCTGCTTGTGTGAACAAGCCAGAGGAACCATTTTCTTTTTGGAACATGGGCAGCTATAAAGGAACCATATTATCATCATCTTTCTGTCAGGCAAGTGAAACTGGTAGAAAAAGAGACTTCAACATGGATGATTTTGTTTCTACAAAAGTAAGAAAGCTGGACAGTGAAGGTTAGCATAGCTTCACCAAATTTGGATACTCCAGCAAGAGATTTTAGTGGGACTACAATGGTGAGAAGGTCAAGAAAACTCAAGTTGAAATTGTCTGAGAGATAAGCTTCAAATACATAGAAACACTGAAACAGGACAGAAAAACTCACCCACGTCAATGTATGTCTTGTGAAGCTTTTCTATCCCCATCTCTTTCTCTTATCTTTATCTGTGCAAGCCTGAAATTTGTCCCAAGGAGAACATTTGACATGAGTGACATGACAACACATAATTTGGTCAATTGCTATTATAAGATAATATTACCTTGATAGACTGAAAGAACATACCTGATTAAACAAGGATATGTAGTTAAGCATAAAATTTGTTTGCTTTTACCATAGCCAGTATATTGGGAAAAGACATAAATGAGGGTAGAACTTGTAAACTCATGAGCAGTTTTAGCCAAAATATCATCAAATTATTGAAAAGCAATTTAGGACAAGGACAACTTTCTGTTTCTTATTTTCTATCAAATCAAGCACAGCTTAAGAGCAACCTATTCATGTTATCAACAACTTCCCTGGATTCTTCAATGTTGCCACAACCCTAGCCCATGTAAAAATAAATGGGTCTTTTTCTTTTTGGGTGGATGATAATCAAAAAGATCATAATTAGTGTTCAACAAACGCGCCATATTAGGTGGGGACGTAGGGTTGCATTTCATTTGAAATGAAGCCCTGTAGAAAGGCATTTGTAATCGCACTCAAGAGTCAAGAATTTGCTGAAAATTGGGCTTAATTTGTATTTGCCACTTGATAATGGCCCACTGAAGCCAATCGAGGGCTGGCTCGTTGGTGTGTTAGCTGGGTTGTCCCACGGTCAGGTGAGGTGACTCAGGTCCTTACATCCTAACAAGTAATAATGAATCAAAGCTTAAGGGCATAACTGAAAAAAAGTGAGTCGAGCAAGAAAAACAGCTGGACTGAACGCCGAAATGCGATATTTAGTCCATCAGTAGAGAGTGAATAGAGAGCAGAGAGACCAACCGGACACGGCGCCAAAAGCTGATACAAGGTTGCGTTTTCATTCGCCACTCTTTAGTGAGAAAGTCGTCCTAGTGAAGAACGGCACTAATCACGCTTCACGCTCTCTGCACACACATACACGAGCGCATTCATGGATTCCTCTTCTTCTTCGTCGTTATCTTCATCGACTTCGTCTCTTCATCTCGCCATGGCTGCCTTTTTCGGAGCATCATTGATGGCCATTTCTGCTTTCTACATCCACAAGCGCAGTGTCGATAAGATTCTCGACCGCCTCATCCAACTCCGCAAGTTCCCTTCCGATGCCGTGCAGCGGTCGGAGGCGGAATATGATGTTGAAGACRAAGACGAACCAGACGATGAGGATATTGGTTTTGGTCGAGAGATTGATCCTCGTATGTGGGGACAGTGTCTCTCATCATCTTTGGATGATCGCAGACTGTACTGTAATAGAGTTTCCTGCTCCATGCCTAATGTAGTTTTGGCTAATCACTGGATGGATGAGGATTCGAAACTTGATCAGCCATTACCATTCCCTCAAGCTTCTTCCTTCGATAAACTCAACTTGATTCCTTCCGAGCTTCCGCACCTTCAGATTGCTGCAGGAGACGGTACATGTTCTTCGTTTTGAACTGTATATATAACGAGATTTTATTTTCTGATGGAACCCGAGGTTGGAGCGGGAGCCACGCCCAATACCGCTTTCTGTTGTTTGTCGTGAATTGTACTCAGAAGAAATAGAAAGAAAGAAAGAAGAATTAAAACGATACTAGTGAAAACTGCTCTTAAGTATAAAGTTTCTTTATCATTCTGTGTGTAGGAGTCGATGAGTGGCATTATTCAAAATATCAACAAGTATTGAACTTACAAAATTTATCGTATTCTTTGGATTTGTTTCTATTGTAACTGCAATAACTTGGTCTTACAAATGTTTGTACTCTTAGGGGAAAGTTAAAAGAAAAAACTTGTTATCTGATTTCTTTTTTTGTCTCAAAGGTAACTATTTCACTAGACAGAATGAAGATGTACATGGGATGATGTACACAGCTACACAGAAAGAGAGCTTACTGCCCCATCCTTGCCAGAAAGGTTAACGAGAAGAGATGTCACTGTACTAAAACAGCACTTCCCATGCCTCTTCTAGCTTAACTATCAGCTTCAGCATTTAGAACCCTAGGACTCCACTGCAAAACAGATGGGAAGGTACTCAATATATCTCTGGTCTGGTTAAGATGGTACTCTAGCATCCATGGACCTGAACTGGCTCTGTTAGTCCACATCATACTTTTATCTGATTCCCCTATAACAATTAGAGCAAATGGCTGAAAATGTTTAGCGATCCTGAGCCTAGGGAGCAGGGTGAAGATTTTGGCTTTCACAGTATCAACACCACCAGTGGTTGTTTGAGTTCTTGGAACATGTACATTTGGTTTTACAGCATCTGAACTCCACTCAAAGCTATGAAATGTAAAAGAATCTTTTATTTAAACTTGGTGATAGTAGCTGCACACAGGTGAAGAACCTTGTGTGCCCAGTGGATTTTCTATTTTAGGATGGATGATTCATTTCCAACGTAATATATACTATCTATCAGTAGTCGTTGTGCCATGTTCTGCACTGTTCTTTATATTCATGCAAATTCACATAAGCATGTTTGATTGCCTTGTCCCCTCCCTCCCTTCTACATTCTCTGAATTAACATTAAGTGTTGCTTTTCCATTTTCGGCTTGTGTAGGAAGCAACCAATCTTTTAGCCGTTCTGGTTCTAAAATGAGGTTGGCATCTCTGGGTAGGCCAACAACCCCAAGATCTCCGGGTGGCAATGCATTTGAAAGTGTAGAGGATTCTGATGAGGAAGGCACTGAGCTTCCATATGGAGAGGACAACCTTGTCAGCTATGACAATACAAGTTCTGCCCCAGTTGACACCAATGTCCATGTATGTGTAGCCTGATTTTGTATTTCAAAATTAAGACACTTATGTTAAGATGGTTCTTTTTTATCCTTTTTTTTATGCTTTTTTGTCAGAAGTATTTTATTCATACAAACAGTTAACTTGTAAACTTAGCTAGTCAGTCACACAAGTGATTTCATGAATGAAAAAGGTTCTATAACCAAAGAATCCAATCACTCTTTGTTGTTCCAAACGGGCGTTTAGTTGCAATTTTGTACATACCACTTTTATAGGCGTATGAGTAACATACAGATGTGTGTTATTGCCACGACAATTTCCACATGAGAACACTAAAACAGTAATATTGTAATGTTCCTATAGGGTGCAGTTCCATTTTAAAAGAATATAAAGAACAAGAGAACCGACTCTCTTTCATTACATGATCATTCAGAATTATTGTTGTTTTGATAACTTTATTGTTACCTCTGCCATACAAAAAAGTAAATGAAAAAAATGATTCCTATTAGCTTTTGATGTTTAACAGGGTGCTGACCCAAACATCCAAGATTCATCAGTTTCACTTCAAGTAGAGAATGTTAATTCTTCTCAAGATCCAATGTGTGGAGAAACTGTAAGCAGTTTACTATCTGATGCAAAAGAGCCAGATGCAGCTGAAATGCTTATCGTGCAGAAGGATTCAGCATGCACTCTTGTACCTCTAAAAACTATTTCTCATGGTATTTCTACTTCTTAGCTTCATATCGTTCTTGGATGGGTAATTTTCTCAATATTCCCATATTTACTTCCATTTTCTAATTGTGCATAATATTTGCATGCTAGATGGTATTGTGGAAATTTCATTTACATTGCCTCTTTGTAGGTCTCAAATGAAATAATGCCTACCAACAAAATGCTAGTTTTTATTTATTTGAATTGTTCTCCATCATTTATGCATCCTCTATAACTCAAAAATGACCTTATAGTTTCTTAGTTTTGCATCTTTAAATGCTTAAAAGCTTGAAAAGTAATCACTTGGCACGTCTCCCCTTCCAACCACTATGTTGCCTATGTGGTTGTATCTAGAAATGAAACATTGAAGCTTTAGTGCTCAACTTTGTATATCAGCGTTCATAGCCAGAAATGCAGTCATCAGATTGGGATGAACATCAAAGAAAGAAAAGTATGAAACATAACACAATAGATTTAACTCTTTCTTTTACTTTGTAATTTGTTGCTTTATGCTTGTTATGAATTCTTCCACATCCTTACCCTTCTTTTCAGTTTCTTGTGTGGATTATGGATCATGTATTTCTACACTGTAGTTTTGCAAGTCATAAGTAGCAATCTCTCTCCCCCTCTCCCTCTCCCTCTCCCTTTTTTGTGGTTAAAATGGATGGAAGTTTTTCTTTTTTTTTTCCTGATTGGAGTTGATGTTCTCAGGTTTCTCATTGTTTCCTTTTTTTTGGTTATATATCCCAAACTAAAAGGGAAGATATAAGGTGAAGACCTTTTGGTATTTGAGAAATAAGTCTCAGTTGCATGAGGCTTAAGCCTAATATGGATTAAATGTGTATTTATCAAAAAAAAAAGGATTAAATGTGGGAAAAAATGTCCGCCTCTGTTGCCTTGGGGATGGGTAAGATGGCCATTGCCTCTGCTTTGGCAGATTCCACCTCTCCAATAGGATCACTAAAAGCCCGTTAACTGGATGATGTTTTATTGATTACTCATCTACTCCTGTTATATGCCAATTTGGTACATATAATTCTATGTTCATATTGACATTACTGAAGTAATTTTCTTTTTATGCAAAAAACTCCTGATATTAGAGGTACCAAATGGAGAAGAGGAAGAAGTGTGTGCAATGATTCGTGAATGTTTGTCTCTCCGGGAAAGATATGTTTATAGAGAATGTGTTGCTCCATGGATGAAGGAAACCATTGCAGAATCTTGTCCCCCTGGGATTCATAAGGATCCTTTTCATTTCGATCCTGTTGAGCCAACTGGGGTGAGCTTTCGTTCACTTTCTAATCACAATGATCTGGCTTGTATCTTCACTCCTGTCATGAGCTTAAGGATGTTGAATTTTCAAGATGTTAAATATTCATCTTTCGTACCTTATATTGTTTATTTCCATTTGTGACAATAGCACCATTTTAAGATGGAGGATGGGGTTGCACATGTTTATGCAAGCAAAGAGGGTAAGAATGAAACTTCCCTTGTTTTAGCAGTTACAGTTCAATGCCAGCAATAGTTATTACTGTCTGACTTTACTAATGAATACTTTGATCATTTTATTTAATTTTCCAAGTATTAATTGTTGTAGCTGCTTTGAATTTTCACTCAGCAACTGAAGAGCTTTACCCTGTTGCAAGTTCAACAACATTCTTCACTGATATGCATTACATACTTCGGATCATGTCTCTTGGAAACGTCCGCTCAATATGCTACCACCGGCTACGCTTTCTTGAGGAGGTAAACTTTTAAAATGATGATTTTAATTATTACCTTTTTTTTAAAAAAGTTTTTATGGATTTGGTTACTGTTATTAATCAAGAAAATAAGTATCACTTGTATCTGAATGACATGCAGAAATTTCGTCTGCATTTATTAATAAATGCAGATCGGGAATTTTTAGCACAGAAAGGTGCGCCTCATCGTGATTTCTACAATGTTAGAAAGGTAGACACACATGTTCATCATTCTGCATGTATGAATCAGAAACATCTTTTGCGATTCATAAAGTCCAAATTAAGAAAAGAGCCTGATGAGGTATTAGTATGTTTCTTTTTAGTCACTGTTTAATTATGGTGCAAGTTGTTTCCAAGTTTTTGCCTACTCTAGATGAATCAAGATAAAGGCATCCTGCTATTATGTTGTGTTAAAAAACTTGTCAGCCTTTTTCGTTTTGAATGACAGTTTGCTACACAGCATTATTGATTTCATCATGCAGGTTGTTATATTCCGGGATGGGAARTATCTTACCCTAAAGGAAGTCTTTGAAAGTTTGGATTTGACAGGGTACAAATATCCATTTCAGTTCCATTAAGCAATGCTCTTGTGAAAATTAGAAATTCTGTTTTAATACCTGCAATGTCACTGGCAGATATGACCTCAATGTTGATTTATTGGATGTACATGCTGATAAGAGCACATTTCATCGTTTTGACAAATTCAATCTGAAGTATAATCCCTGTGGGCAAAGCAGACTCAGAGAAATCTTCTTAAAGCAAGACAACCTTATTCAAGGTTTGATGCATGGATGGCTTTTCTGTGTGTATGATCAGTATGAATTAATTTTTAATACCTGATTTAAATCCATATAAACAAGATCAAGTAGTTGGATGTTTTCTCAAATGTTGTTTCCTTAACAAAGAGGTTACCAAAAAATGAGAAACCAAAGTACAATATTAAGAAACAATTAGTTTTCTCACCTTCTAATTGACTTTGTATTCTCTATCTCTTGGATCCCAAACGGAGTCTGAAGTGTTCTTTCCCATTCTATTTGTGATCTTTGCTGGGTTTCTAAAGACAGACATGAAGAACATTGGAAGATTAGTGAAATTGAATTTAATGAAGTTGATTCAACCACCTAGAAATATGCAATGAGTTTTTTTTTTTTTTTTTCTTTGGATAAGTAAATATTCAGTAGGGTTCCTTTCCTATTCTTTGATATCTGCATCTCACTGGAAGGTTGTATCAATCCCTTCCATTTCATTTTGGGCATATTATACAATTGAGGCCAGAAATTCACTGATGTCCCTTAGATTGTGTGTAAATTTCCCCTGGTTTGCATGAAAGGGGACCTTTTGCGACATTTATGCACTTCATCTCAGGGAATTATCATCCTTTCTTTCAAGGAAATGGCAATAAAAACCTCCATGTTAATCTGCTATGAGTTTTATTGATCAAATGGCTTTCAACTGCTGCATTCAACAACAAAGGTACTTGTAATTTAATCCTCCAAAATTCTACACCTTAAGGAGGGAGTTGCTATCAACTCTAATTGAATATATAACAWTGATTGAAGCTGAGTACACTTGGAGGATTTGATTGAACTTTTTTTATTAATAGCAAGATCAAGATGCTTTAAAACATTTGTGAGAAAAAAGAATACAAATAGATCTCCTCGCAAAAGGGGAGATCCTAAGACCAATAAAAAACACAATCTCACTCCTGTGGCCTCAAGCGGAAGGACTAGGGGCTCCAATATAACTCCCCATGCCTAACCCATCCCTAGCTTGGTGATTAGCTAATCTTTGGACCTACTTGAACAAGATATTCAGATACAAAGAGGGCCTATCTTCTGTAATAATGTGATGTAGAACCAAAGGGCCTTTACCTCAATCTCACAACTACCCTTCATCACTTGGAAGTCTCCCTCCAGTTGACCTTCTAATTGTAGTGCATCTARAAATTTGTACTGTAATTCATATATTTATTTCTTGTGGAGCCTTATCTTAATTTTCACAATTCAGTGTCTATTAACTTTCTAGCCATCTAGTAATTTCTTCAATACACTCTGTAATATCCATTTACTGCAGTGCCCTGCTACTGAAATTTAGTTTAGTATGCAACTTCGTCAACATGAAATACATAATTAAGTTGTGTGTTATGTTTTCTATCTAAAATTTCAGGGCGTTTTTTGGCTGAAGTGACAAAGCAAGTCCTGTCTGATCTTGAAGCTAGCAAATACCAGGTATGCTCATTTTCTTGTGCATTTATTCTTATATCTTATACGCAATCTAGATATTCTCTTTGCATGTTCTTTTATACGCAAACCTTTTCATACGAAAAAAGGTCATTACCCAATGCTGGTCCAGACTATCGAGAGTATTGGGAGAAGTGGACTGGATACAGACCTAACTTCTGGCATTTTTTGCATGAAGTGGCTGCTCTCAAACTCAAGCCCCTCTTCTCATTCTTGTCAGCCCCAGATTTTATCATCTCACAAAGCAATGGTCCCTAAACTTTTTAATGTCTCATTTCTAAATAGACAAAATTTCTTGTGGCAGTTCATTTACCTTGTTTATACGAGGTGCAATACAATGACCAGATAAGCAGTTTTTGATGCCAAATGCCAGTCTTAAGACAGGCCAACCTTCTAGATACCAATCCATCCCTACCATGAATAAGACCTTACCAAGCCTATCCAGTTTGGGACAGGGTGTTCCTTTAACCCATCTCATTGCCATCTCCATTCARTCTAGACCCAGAAATGTGAGATATAGTTTTTGATGACTATGCAAAATGTTCAGCTTTGATACAAGTAGAAAAGTCATGGATTCCAATGAATGTAGGAGAATTATTTCTTTTGGGGTTGTGATTCAGTAATGGGAATTGGATATTCACATCATATATGCCGGTTTAGCTTCCTCTCACAAAGTTGATGTGAAAGCTATAGCTGTTAGAATGAATCTACCAGATCTTCCATGCCCTTAGGAGTTGTGGAAATTCTTCCTCTTGTCATGTATTCATTCAATGAGAAAGGAATTCTCCCCATCCATGGAAATCTCTATTTCCAAATATAGATTTCCTCTTTTTCTCAAGACTTTTCTATGTATAAACAAGGAATATAGAAATGGTCAATTGATCATGCAGATAAAGTTGCAACTTTTATTAGTTAAACTATTATTCATTAGATTAATCATGGTTTGGAACCCTTGGTACAGGCCAAGGCCAGGGAATCCTGGAGAGATCAATCAATGAAGTCGCTTCATCTATGGAAGAGCTATAGCTTCTGGAAAAACTAGTATATAATTTCTTAAAGCATTCCCTTTCTATTTCATTTTTTCTTTTTTTTTTTGGGGGGGGGGGTTGAGGTGGGAAATGACATTTCTCTTCCTGGTGTTAGCATTTGCATGCCTTCCAGTCTTACTCCTGTCTATTTTCCTTTACACATGGTATATGAATTGTAGTTGAACAAATTTCACAAACTGAATAACTTGAAAAGTTTACCAAACACTAGTCTCATTACGCTTGAAAATCACTTCATGGACTTCCAAGTTGAGTTATTTTTGACTTTTATTATCAATAGTTGTTATTCAATTGCTTGTATCCAAAGCTATTTATCTACCTAATTCTATCCATTCTTTAATTTTCAGATGGCAGAGTACAGGATCTCTATCTACGGAAGAAAACAAAGTGAATGGGACCAGATGGCAAGTTGGTTTACTAATAATGCAATTTACAGTGAAAATGCTGTTTGGTTAATTCAGGTAGTTTGCTGTTGATTGGAGAACCTCAGTATCTTATTGACAGCTTTCAGAACCCCTTGATTCCTAAATAGAAGCCACCTTTTTTTAGGCCTGCATGACAAATTTTCACTTGGGATTGGTGCTTATTTTGACATGTTACTGCTAGAGCTTTGATACATTGTTTTGGGGTATCTTTATTTCATAATCCATTTCTTCTTAATGTCAATGTCCACAGAAGTCAGAACCAGGACTGGTTTTATTTAGAGGTGATTGATTATGTGCTGGGGCAGGCTTTGCACCTCTGATAAGGTCTATAGCCTGGGACCAAGCCTGGCCCAGCCCAGGTTCTGGGCCTGAAACATAAGCCTGGGCCCAGGTCGGACCTGATTCTGGGCTTATAGTGTTGTTGGATTGAGTGTCTATTCTTGCTGTTAGATTGCTGTCAGCCTAGACTGCTGTCAGCATATTCTTTTCTTAAGTTTTATGTTTAGGGTGGGCCACCAGGGACCTACTTGTAATTTTCTTTTTTATATATTGTTAGATCATATTAATATAAAAGAGAAGCTGGGCGCCGCCAGCCTAACCTTTTGACTCTCACACCTCTTTCTCCCCCTTCTCTTCTCCTCTCTTCTCTCCTCTTTCTTCTCTCTCTCTCTATTCTTGTAAGACTATATGGTATCAGAGCACAAATCTGGGCAATAGGAGTTGTTTTTCTTCTGGATCGCATCTCTTCAACTCAGATTTCTGATCTTCTGAACAGTAAGGACAAGAAACCCTAATCATCTGATCAGAACTATTTATTCTCGTTTTTGTTTTGGGTTCTTTGTTGGTCGGAGCACCAAGGTAACCCTAGTAGGAGGAGGCCAATGCTGTGAAGCCTTTTTCTCTCCTTGTTGGCTGATGCTGTGAAGCCTTTTTGCACCTTTGTACAGGTGCAGTACAGGGGTGTGTGATCCCCTTTGTGACAGGTATGGGCTGTTACTGATTGGTGTGTGAAGTGTGTAGTCCAATAGTGACTATTTTTCAGTTCGTTTGACTGTTTAGTTGCTGCCAGTAGACCTTAGAAGTGTGACTGTGAGAGGTAGTCCTTGTGTGGGGACTGGTCTAGTTACCTGCAGCCCTTGTCTTTTGACTTGTGACCTGTTTTTTTGCCAATGGCAGAATGATGATTCTGCCTCATCTGGAGTTACATCAACCCGTAGTATGGCTGGTATGGGGGCTGAAGGTTTGATGTTCCCTATGCCAATCACCCCTTTAAATGGCCTGAACTACCTGGAGTGGGCTAAAGGTGTAAAACTCTATGTAACAGCAAGTGGAAAAGCTGGTTACATAAACGGAAGGGTGAAAGAACCTAAGAGTGGGACTGCTGAACATGATCGGTGGGACCAAGAAAACAGTATGGTGATGTCCTGGCTTCTTGCAGCCATGGAATCTGATGTGAAGAAGAACTTTATGTGGGCAGACACTATGAGTGAGATTTGGGAACAGGCCAAAACCACCTATTCTGAGCAAAGGCACTATAACAAGATCTACCAGCTACAAGCTGAATCCTCAACCTGTAAACAGGGGAATCGTACCTTATCAGCCTATTATTCAATCCTTACTTTAGTATGGAAGGAATTGGACTACTATCAGGCTATAGAATGAAAACATGATGATGATGCTAGAGCTTATAAGAAGTTGGTTTCTCAGCAGCGGGTTTTTGCCTTCTTGTTGGGACTAAACCCCGTATATGAACCACTTAGAGTTCAGACCTTAGGAAGTAAAGAGTTGCCTTCAGTCCAAGAAGTATATGCCCTTGTTCAGTTCGAGGAAAGTAGGCAGAGTGTGATGGTTACAACTGAGGGGGAGCAACAGATAGCATTAGTTGCAATGGGTGGTAATAATATGGGAAAGAAAAATGACTCCAAGAAAATTGATGATAAGGACAAGTTATTCTATACCCATTGCTAACGTTCAAGACATACACGTGATACATGCTGGGAGATCCATGGGAGGCCAAAGTGGGCTGTAAATAGGAATGGCAATGTGGTGGGGTGGGGACGGGGAGCCTCTCCCCATCCCCATCCCTGCTAATGGGGACAAAGTTATCCCCATCCCCGTCCCCATGGGGATCCCCATTCCCTGTGATATTTTATGTCAACCAAATTATTTTTTGTTTCTTTTTTTATTTTATTTAAAAAAATAAAAATAAAAATAAAATAATTAAAATTTACAATACTATTAGAAAAGATTCAAACATATTCAACCATATTTTTAAAAATATTAATATATAGATGTATGTGTACATATATACATATATAACGTATGCATACATATATACATATATATTAGTGGGGATCCCACTGGGCGGGGATCGGGGTCCCCGCGGGGCAGGGAGTGCTCTCCCCGTCCCTGCTAATGGGGATGAAAATTTCCCCATCCCCGTCCCCGCAGGGTGAAAATCATCCCCATCCCTGCCCCAATCGAGGCGGATCCCCACGGGGACCAGGGAAATGGGGAAAATTGCCATCCCTAGCTGTAAAGAACCAAGAACAGGGTAAGGTATAGGGTCAGAAGAAGCCTAATACAACACAGAATGCATCAAATGTGGCAACCCAAGAAACTTAGTCTACTGGGGTGTCAATTGATACTACTCGGGAGCACTTCACTGGTTCTGACCCCAAGGAAGATATCATGAACTCCTTTGTAATTATTTAGAATCATATGGTTGGGCCTTGCGATAGATGGACAGTTTAACTACTGGTAACCCTTCTACTTCATTTGCGTCTACATCAGGTAATACAGCCTCTGCCTTCCATGTATCCATTGCCACTGATTCCCCCTGGATCATTGACTTAGGGGCCTCTAGTCACATGACTGGTAAGCCAAATCTATTCCAAGGATGGATCATTCTCCTCCATTACAGGCCAAGGATCAATATTCCTTCCTCATGGACTTAACTTGAAGAATGTTTTGCATGTTCCTTAGCTTCCCATTAATCTTCTGTCTATTAGTAGTATCAAACTCATTAAACTGCAACGTAACCTTTTTTTCTTGATTCATGTGTTTTCCAGGATCTAACTTCTGGGAGGACGATTGGTAGAGGAAGTTTAGTGGATGGTCTCTACACTTTCGACAACTTGAACTATCTAATTGGATTGTCTTCGAGCTAATCACATTAAGAGTGGTTGAAACACTTAGATCCGGATCAGTCCAGTAGGACTAGACCAGATTGGTTCAGTCAATGGCAAATTGACTTGGACCGACCCATATCAGGTTTGTGCACGGGTTTGGGACTGAACCAACTGGCCCAAAGCGGGTCAAGAGAAGTAAATCAAACCGCTTTAGATTCAGGTTGGGTTGTACAAATATGAGCCAGGCCGGACGATCCAAACCGGGCAAAGCAAGTGGGCGGATTTTGGGTCGGATCGGGCTGGGTCTGGACTGAGCCATCCCGCCCGTCACATTTTCGAATTCGGGTCGACTCGGATCGGCTTGCACTGGGCCGGGTCGAGTTCGGTCTGGGCTGACCGACCCAAATGACCCAAGTTGAGTTGGTTTGGACTCGGGTCAAGTTGATTTGGATTTATGTCGATTTGGGTGAAGTGTGTTGATTCGAGACAAAACTAATTTTAGTCAATAATTAATAGAAAATTAATGCATTAATTATAAATTATTTCATTCGAATGAAGAAAATAAAAAAAAAGGCTAAAGAATTAATGCTTTAGTGGTTAACCTAATGGTTACCCACATTTTTTTTGGAAGAGCAATTGTGAAGAATAGAGGTAGCCTTTTGTTGTTGGTTGAAGCTATGGAGTTCAATCCAGCGGCAACCCGGGGAAGAGAACTGGAGTTCGAAGCCAAAAAGTATTTGTTTGAAGCTTGTAGAAACAAGGGACAGGTGTGCCTRAAGATCAGGGAAGAGAAAAAACAACTATTTTTCTTTGCAGAGATGCAGTGATTTGGGTGAAGGGTTTTGTGGATGGAGTTATTTACAACAAGAAAGAAGTTGGATGGAAAGGTCAGTTGAATATGGAAAGGAAGAACTTTATAGCTGAACTAAGAAATAACAGAAAGGGGTGGTTTACAGTGATAACAGAATGTTTTGGGGAAGGTAATAGGAAGTTTGTGTGTATCCCAGAAGGAAATAGGAAGACAGGTTGGAAGTGTTTTGTAGAAAAGCTACAGAAATACTTGGTATTGATGGAGATAAATGAAAAGGTTCAGCAAAAGACTTTAACGGAGAAAGCAAAGTTGGGGGAGAGTGAGAGTTATATGGTAGGCAAGGGGTTAGTTGCTTGCTCTGTTAAATTAAGTAAGTTGGAGTTGGAAGTAGATAAACAGAAATGGAAGAACAGATTTGTGTTGATAGCTAGAAAAAAGATTAATGATTGGCAGCTCATTGCAGAGGAAATAGTGAATATTTTTAGCACTAAAAAAACTGTTCTTGTGGTGCCATTTAGTGAAAACAGAGCCATTCTCGACACAGGGGAGGCGAAGATAGAACTTTCTTCTATCGAAACTCAGGAAGGGTTGATCGTCATTGAAGAATGGTGTATGTCTTGTAATGAGTGAGATATTACAGTAGGTTATTTCAACATTAAGCTTGTTGGGGTGCCGTTCAACTTCTGGAATAAGTCGATAGTAGAGAAAATAGTCCACATGTTGGGTGGCTTGATGGAGGACTGCAGCTTCAGTGACATGACGGCGATCAAAGTAAGAATCCGTTGGATCAAGCTGGAGGAGGTGCCCTGCTTGGTGACTATCTTCTTGAAGGAACTATGTAGGAAGATTTGGGTACTGATGGAAGTGGAAGCGTCTTTGTGGAGGAGTCGTTCGAAGGTGATGTGGAGGAAGGAAGCACACGTGACAGAAGTTTAGTGGGAGGAGAAGGAAAGGAAGAGGGAGAACTTTTTTGGGAAGAGGAAGAGTTGGGTCCCAAGGAAGTATTGGGCGGCCACCTTGAAAGAGAAAAGAATTAAAAAAATATTAAGTTTAAAAGTCAGGTGGTCAGACCATCATATGCCGACGTGGCTAGG